TTATCCAATCCCAAATTCAAAAGTGATATAGAACCATTTTTCAATCAGATTTTGAAGAAATGTAACGGTCTACCCCTTGCTATTGGGACAGTGGCGAAAACCATGAAAGGAAAATTTGATCGTTACTCGTGGGAGATGGCAGATAAAGAATTAAGCAACTCTGAAGAATTTTTCGATTGCTTGAAATTCAGTTATGAACACTTAGAAGAACTGTGCAAGAACTGTTTTCTATATTGTGCATTATATCCTGAGGATCATGAAATCTCCAAAGAGGAATTAATTGAGTGTTTGATTGAGGAGGGATTTATAAAAGATGGAAGGGGATCTCGACACTTAATGAATAGTGAGGGCCATGTTATTCTCGGGAAGTTAATAGACAACTGCATGTTGGAATTGGTTAAACAAGATAAAAAGGTAGATTGTGTGAGTATGCATGATCTTCTCCGAGAAATGGCGTTGAATATCAGTCCTCGATTCATGGTGAAAGCTGGCATGGCCTTGGAAGAGCTACCAGAGGCACATGAATGGAGAGAAGATCTTTTGAAGGTTTCTCTAATGAATAATAGCATAAGAGAAATTCCTTCAAGCATGTCGTCTCCCAAGTGTCCAATGCTCACAACCTTGTTGTTGTCCAATAACAATATTACAACAATTCCAGAAGCTTTTTTTGATCAGATGCTTGGGCTGAAGATCCTCGATCTTTCCAGAAATTACAAGCTAGGTAGGCTGCCGAGTTCTGTTTCCAAATTGGAGAATCTTACCACACTACTGTTGGAGGATTGTCAGTCCTTAAAAGAGGTACCATCTTTATCCAACTTTCGAGCCTTAAAAAAGTTAGACCTTTCTAGGACATCAATTGAAGAACTACCCCAAGGCCTCAATATGTCAACCAATATGAAATTTCTTCATCTTGGTGGAAAATTATTTGAAATACCTGATGGATTACTACAAAATCTCTCCAACCTTCAGTATTTACTAGTAGATTTGAATATACCATTGAAAGGGGAGGAGATTGGAAAATTGAGGAAGTTGGAATTTCTTTATGGCAGGTTCTCTACGGTGGATGATATGAGCCTCTTTGTCAATTCTAAACGAAAGTTGCTAAATGGGTACTGGTTTTGTGTTGGAAGTCACAAAGAAGTAGAAAAAGTACATCAAATGCTTGCTAGCTTTTCAATTAGTGCGAAATGCATTTTATACCGTAATATTGATATCTGTGGGGAGGCTACTTGCCTACCATCTGATGCACAAGGCTTCTACATCTTGGACTGTAAGCATGTGAAAATCTTAGACGACATTTCTGGCTTTCAAAATGCAACGGACCTGCGGGGTTGTGTAGTTGATAGATGTGCTGGCCTGGAGTTTGTGGTTTCCTTGTGCTGCTTAAAGCCACTTCGAAACATTGAGTTGCTCTCCCTTTATTATTTGCCTAACTTGAATGCAGTGTTTGAGAAAGTAGGAACAATTGCCAAGCCAGCGCCACTGCCAGCTGGCACTTTTTCTCTCCTTCAAAAAATTAAAGTTGTGGGTTGTGGAAAAATAAAGAAGTTATTGCCACTGGGGTTGTCGCTGTATCTCCAGAATCTTCAGACTATTAAGGTTAAAGAATGTGATCAAATGGAGGAAATAATATGGTCCGAAGATGGAGGAGGAGAAAAAGCCCCAGAAAAACTCACTCTACCCAAGTTAGAAAGGTTGGTATTGGATGATTTGCCCGCATTGAAGAGCATCTATAGTGGTTTTAGTACTGTTTTGATCTGTGATTCCATCAAAAGGGTTGAAATTAAAGGTTGCGGAAATATAGAGAGTGTTTTTTGGTCGGGGTTCAACCCACTTCCAACCCTTGAGTATCTGCAGCTTTGGAGCTTAGAGAATTTGAAATCCGTGTTTGATGAAGAAGCGCTTGGTTTATCGGCTCCTTCCACCACCTTTTTCTCTCTTAAAACAATTGATGTGTATAATTGCCCTAAATTAAAGAAAGTATTCTCACTTGGATGGCTGCTACGCTACTTCCAATCTCTAGAGACTATTGAAGTTGATGACTGTAACCAAATGGAGGAACTGTTTTCATCATCGCCCTATGAAGAAATAGAAACCCTAGAAAAAATCACTCTACCCAATTTACAGAGTTTGGAATTGAAGAAGTTGCCCGAATTGAAGAGCATCTGTAGTAGTTCCAGTGTGTTGATTTGTGATTCCATCAGGATTTTGAAGATTGTTGACTGTGAGAAGCTAAAGAGAATTCCTCTGCATCTTTCCTCGCTTGACAATGGCCAGCCTCCCTCCCTCAAACAAGTTGAGGTATACCCACAAGATTGCTGGGAATCATTGGAATGGGACCAATCCAATGCAAAGGATGTCCTACCTTCTGTAAATTCCTTTGGGATGCGCTAAGAAGCAAAGGTGTGCTGGCTCTTTGGTGATTGGACAGTGCAAATGTAAGCCTTTTGTAACTTCAATTTTCCATTTCTGATTCTGATTCTGTTTCAACTCAGTAGGAATTTACATTTTTATGCGTTTCTTCTTCCTTTCTATCTCAACAAATCTCCCTCTCTCACTCGTCTTTTCTTTTTCAATGTCTTCTGTTTCTTCTCCCCACTGGCAGCAAAGCTGGAGTTGGACTCTGTTACCACAAGAAAGCCGGAGGAAATCACATTTGCTTGTATCTATGGTTGTGTTTTATATTTAACATACATAGGCTTGCTATTTTATTTTATTTATGTTGTGACTTTAAATATGTCAAATTCTAAGTGGAAATGTTTGTTTCCTTATGTGTAATTTTGTATTTCAATCTTATGTGGAAGGATTTGTCTTATTTCCTATGGTATTTCTTTTCCTACATCTGCATCTTTACTTTTATTGTAATAAGCATTTTGGCTAAAATTGTGAGATATTACTATGTAACCTTGTTTTACACCATATTAGTGATAGACATAATACTACAAAAGAGTAGTTTGATTTATACATTTTGGATCATATTCATGTTTTTTTTTTAATTGAACTTACGGCTAAATATCATCAATGATCATTCCTATCTGAAAAGAAAATTGTAATGTCCATCCTTGGATATAGGCATGTGTGGTTACATTTCTGTGGTCAAGCTGTGTTTGTGCCATTGGTGTTGAGTTAGAAAAGCACGCTGGTGATGAGAAGTAACTGGATTGCTGCTAATTTATACAATCAAAAGTGGTATTTGGTTGCTCTTTCTTTTTATTTTAGCCTCTAGTAAAAATTCCTATGGCATAGCTTTGTTTGAATGCCCAATCTCAGCATTTGATCTTCAATCACTCTTAAGAGCAGAATTTAATTTTTATAACGGGTCAAATGATGTGGGAAAGAACAGTTCTTATGAGCTTGTTCCTTTTTAAACAAACACATTGATATTGGTGAAGACAACATATACCAGGGAACAAAATCAATAATGCTAATTTAGATTTTGGATACAGAGTTGATGATGTAATAATCATAAACAAGTGGCACCATGATGCAATGGTCTTATGGTGTAATTCTTAGTTCTTAGCCTCGCAAAAGCATCTGCGGTATATATATTCTAACTCACATGCCATTTTGCCTACCTTCAACCTTTTTTAACAAGATTATGCATGCAGTAGTCATTCAAGATTCATAGTTTGAACTATGTACTATCCACCTTACACCATGTTTTTGAGCTAAAACTTTTCTGTGCTAAAACTTTTCTGTAACTGATATATCTTGTAAGGGTACATATAAAAGAAGCTTAAATTTATAACAGCAACCAGGGCTTACTCTACCTTCTAGATAAAGTTATGCTTCAATTCAACCATCTTTATTGGCATTTTGTTTGATAATTTATTTCAGTTTTGACTGTCTACTAAACCATATAACTTTCACTGCTTTGGTGAAGTTGCATAACGTATTTAAGTGCAATAGAGAATCTCCCATGTGTATGTGAATGTGGACTATTTTGACCCTCTTCCAGGTATGTGTCATAAACTTGGAGGATCCTTGTAAACGTATTAGAGAAGTTCTGAAGTTTGTAAAGATGGAGCACCTGGAAGGAGCATGTAAGATGGACTAGTAAGCTACTACGCAGTTTTGTAACTAGCCTTCCATTGTTATCATATTTCTTATTTTAAATGAATTTCAGCAACAATATTTTGTAACTAGCTTTCCTTACCTGAATCCCTATCTTTGTTGCTTTTCAATTGTGAATTCTCACTAAAGTATGTGCTTCTGTGAATGATAAATCTCCACCTCCAGGGGGCAAGCCAGATCTGATGACCGCAACAAAGATGGTCCTCCATGACCGGCTAAGAAGTAGATGGTCCTTCCTTGTTCCTCCCTCATCAACCTGAGGATGGCTTGTCAGAATCACCTACTATTCATGGGATATATTAAGAGACAGTAACTAATAATAGTCAGGCATATTTACAACAGTTGAAGCCATAACAATCACAAATGTAATCTCATCCCAACAGCAAGGAAGTGTGCATGTTCAAATCTCTTCTTCAGTGAGAAAGAACTATAGAGTCAAAATGATTAGACAGCCATTGAACTTCCTAATGATGATGAGATTGGAGATCAAGAAGAGCTAACAAGAGTGAGATACCAAGTTCCAGCAGCTGAGCTATACGTATCCCTGGAAGAACACATGGCTTTCTCTTTTTAGTTAGGAATTACTATTTTCGAGTCCAACATATCTATTATCTTCCAAAATGCT